ATCTCTCAATACTGGGAGTCTGGTCACCGGACAGACCGGTGCCACTCACCGACCTTCCCACGTCCTCCCCACCCCGCCCCCGCCCCTCCGCGTCTTAGGCCTCCTCCCAGCGGACCGGGGCTGGCGGCGGAGCGGAGGCGGGTGCCGGGCCCGGGGACCCGGCGGGACGGGTAGGGTATGGGAGGTGGTGGGTCAGGTCAGCCGCGGGTCTCTCGGGGTTGCCCGGCCACTAAACCCTCCCTGGGGTGTTGACGTCCGGCGAGACCTCAGCCTCCACCGCGTCCCCACCTCTGCGGAGGCCGCGAGCCCCGGAGGCGGGGAAGGGGGCGGGGGATGGCGGGCGGGCGGGGCCCGGCGAGTGGGGCGGAGCGCGGGGTCGGCGGAGCGCGCCGCTGCCTCTGATCCCCCGGGACGCGCTCGCCAACCCCGGGGCCGGCGGACTCGCACCCGCGGAGGACGTTGGCTGCTCCCGGCCCGAGGCGGGGTGCGGGGTGGGGGGCGCGGGGCGCAGCCGACCGGGGCGCTGGTGCCCAGGGGTCCCGGCGCGGGGGTGGCGCAGGAAGGGGACCGGCGCGCCGAGGACCCCCGGGCCGACCGGCCAAGGTAAGCGGCCACCGCGGAGATGGCAGGCGGGCGTGCGTGCGAACTGGCTGGGATGCGAGACCTGTCGGAGCCTTTGTCTGCAGCGCGCGCGGCCCCACTCCGCGCCGGTTCGGGCCGGCGCGTCCGGGGGAGCAGGCACGAGACACTGGCGAACCCAAGTCCCCGACCCCACCCCCCCGTCCGGGAAGAGGGAGCTTCCACCCCACCGCGTCCAGCATCCGTACCGGGCCACCACTTCCCCCGCCCCATCAGCCCATCTGCGAGCGCCGCTGCAGACTCGGGAGGGGGCAGAGTGGCCGGGGCCCCAGCCCGCCCGGATCTTGTGCCACCTCGTTCCTCGGGACGGGCTAAGTAAGGGTCCTTTCGCCTGCAGTCCCCCTGTCCCCTCACCCTTTCCCCCAGCCAGCCCACTTCTGGCTCTTGGAAAAGCCTCGGGAAGAGGTGGGCCTCTGCTAGGGGTCACCTCGCAGTGGCCAGGCGTCTGCCCTGGGCCTGGGAGCGCAGGCCTGGAAACCAACTTTATTGCTGATGGGCCCGGACAGCGGAGTTTGGGGGGATTGTGCTGAGAGCATCAGGAAACTGCAGGAACCAGGATGGGGGGCAGGGGTGTCCCAGCCGCCAGCCAGCGCCTATGGCCAGTGCATCCAGCTGTCCTGGGGGGCGGGGGAGGGAGGCTCCAGAAAGGGGGTGATCAGAAGATCCTGAACCCACCTTTCTGAGGGCAGAGGCGACCCGGGGGCAGTGGGGCAGCGGGGCAGCGGGGCAGCGGGGCAGCGGGGAGGGCTTGGCTGTGGAGGGAGCAGCAGGGAACTCCTGAGCCAGCCTAGGCCAGGGGCCGGGGCCATCCAAGGGTGTCCAGCTGCTCGGGGCTGTGGCCCACAGGGAGTGTGAGGTCCCAGGACCAGCGGGCCGGCTTCCCACACAGAATTCAGGCTCCCCTGTCCCCTCCGTGGGGACACACTCTGGAGGTGGGACAGAGCCCCCAAGGGGCCAGCCTGGCCTTGGGGTGCAGGCGCCCAGCACTTCTGCAGCACCCTGGGGCGCATTCAGTCACAGCTGAAACGGGGGAGCCACAGGGGGTCACCCTGCCGCATGGTCCCTGCAGGTGGCTCTTGGTGCTTCTGTGCTTCCGTTGCCCTTTCTACAAAGTGGCAGGTGAGCCAGGTTTCCGGCTCTGTGAGGGTCAGAGCCCCCCGGGCCCCCAGCAGTGCCCTGAGGTGGGGCTCTCTCGACTGCCAGCACCTCCTGACGGCAGCCTTCCCTGTTTGGGAGGGACGTCACCCTCCTCGTCCACAGCATGGACGGGGGTGGGGAACTGAGGCCCAGGGCAACCTCTGGGCAGGCAGGGAGGGGTCCCAGCAGGGTGGGGGGCAGAGGAGAGCCCATGCTCACGTTCCAGATTTTAATTAAAGGGGGACACAGGAGGGGGAGGAGGGGGCTGCGGTTCCACCTGAGGCTCTGGGCTGCTGGTGTGGAGTGCACGGGGTCTGGGGAGGGTGTATTGGAGGCCGGCCACCTGGAGAGGTGCGGGCGAGTCTGCAGTCACCCTCACTCCCGCCTGTCATCTGTGCAGTCTGTCCTCTGCCCAGCGGTGCAGTGTTAGGGGACATGGGGCCATGGCGGGGGGAGCCAGAGTGTCCCCACCCACCTGCAGGAGAGGGTCTGAAGGAGCACGGGCTGGGGCCGCTGGTGTGGGCAGCAGCTGCCTGCTGCCCCACGGAGCCGTTGGAGGCGGAGGTGGGGCCGCCTTCCGGCTGCATGCTGGGCACGTCCACCTCCCTGGTGGCCTGGCCTCTCAGCCGGCAGAGAGCTCACGCGGAGGCCCAGGGTGTCTGCGCGCTGAGTCTCCGAGCCCCATGCTGACCGGGCCCTGGGGGGTGGGGGGAGCGGCCTCCAGGGCTGGGCCCTACTCTGCCCCGAGCAGGTCGTGCATGAAGCTGGGTGGGCCCCAGTCTCCTACAGGGGGTGGCCCGGGGGAAGGCCACAGTCATTGAAACCCAGGCTGAGTGCTTGCTGTCTGGAGTCCTGCTTGGGGCCCCAGCTTGGGATGTGGCAGGAGGCCCAGGGCTGGGGCTCAGGAAGAAGGGGGCTCCTGAGGGGGCTGTGTCTGGCTTCCCAGCCCCCAGAAGACAGTGACAAGTCTATGGGGAGCCAGGCGGGGGCCCGGGGAAGGCACTTGGTAACCTGTCTGGTTGCTCAGGAGTGAGTAGACGGAGGCAGGAGACCTGGAGGAAATGAGCAGGCGGGGGCGCCTCACAGACGCCTGTGAGCCCACCTCAGAGACATCGGCCATAACCCAGGGCACGTGGGGCCCCTCAGGAAGTGGTCCCCCTGCTCCCCCGGGTTCTCCCACACATGCTCACGGGGACTAGAGACCAGAGGTGCCACCCTCGGGGCCCGGTGCACGGCCTCCCATCTCTACCTCAGACGCTCTCCAGGGACCGTGTGCCCTCTTTGCAGTCAGACAAATACAGAAGGTCATCAGAAAAACAAACTGATACGTGTCTTAGGTAAAAAACTAGTCCCTCCACCCTCCCCACACAGGGCTGTCTGTGGGCGGCCTCCCCCTCCCAGATTGGTCGGCTCCTTCCTGGGGCTCGCAGGTTTGAACCGAAGCAAACGACATGCAGGCAGGACCAGAGCAAGGACGTTCTGCCAGTGAAGGTGGCCACCCCCAAACGGGGCCTGGTGGCCTGGAGTGTCCATCGGCCTGAGTTTGGGCCGGGGCTCCCTGACTGACCCCCCCGTGAGACTGGGGCGGCAGGGCAGGGGGCTTGTTCATCCTCTAATCCTTTGATTCTGGCCGTCAGAGGGGTGAACCCGGGCCCCTCCCCCTCCAAAAGGAAGTGGGGCTTCGCGGGTGCGGCCTGCTGTTCTGACCACCCGCCTGTCCGCCCGCCTGTCCGCCCTGGCACCCCGCCTCCACCTGCCTCCCCACCCCCGCCTCCCGGTGCCCACTGCCGCCGCCCTTGCACAGGCCTCTATCACAGCATCTTCCTAACACACAGACCACGTGACTTCCCCACTGGCTTAGGTCTGTGTGCCCGGCTGCGCTGCCTCAGAGCAAGCAGGGACAGGCCTGGTGACAGGACAGTGACAGAGGCTCCCTCAGCCCCCCTCTCTCTCTGCAGTGTGGGCCGCCATGGGCCCCGTGGGCAGCCAGTGCCTCCAGGAGCCCAGAGTGGCGGGCACGCCGGCCAGGAACGTAGTGACGAGCTTTGGCTTCAACAGCTGCCCGCTGGAGGAGGAGGCGGCTGCTGGGGCAGCTCCTGGGCAGGGCGGCGCGGCCAGGGGAGCCCCGATTCCCACGGACTCTGGTGAGTGAGGCTGTGGGAGAGGTGTGTGTCTGGCCCGAAGCAGAGGTGGCCAGGGGAGGGAGGGTCAGAGACAGAACCTCAGGCTGCCATGAGCTCGGGAGGTCGGCCGGATGAGGTCGACTAACCGGCCCTGTGGGGGCCTTGGCGCCTTCACCTGCGGGTTGTGTCCCCAGTTCGGGCACAGAGCCAGGCCGGGGAGACTCCCTCGGACCAGGGGGTCCCATGACCCCGGGTCCAGGCAGAAGGTGACTCATCCTGTGACCTGTGTGTAAAACTTCTCTCTGAACTGACACAGCTCACTTCGGTCACATTCTTGGCCAAAGCGAGCCACGCCTCACTTCAGGGGAGATAGAAGAGTACCTGCAGGGCCAGCGTGAGGCGCAAGGCCTGGTTTGGGCCAGGCTGTGTGACCTCGGTCCGGGGCGGGGGCTCTCCCTGGAAGGAGACAGACCGGCCGCCTGTGGGACCACCTGCAGGGAGCGCGGGGCTGGCGTCCAGCGCACCAGGGCTCAGCCCCAGCTCCACAGCTTCTGCTCGCTCCGGGGCCTCGGGCAAGTCATCGGTTTCTGGAAGTCATTGGTGACTTCCTCTGGAAAAGGGCAGTGGCTGGTGCCACTCTGCATGGACACAAAACCCCAAAATGGTGCCGAACACTGTCCCTGAGTGAGCGCTCATTTCTGGGGGGCTCTGGTCTATACTAGCCCCACTCCAGCCCCGGAAACGGGGTCTCCTCTCTGGGTCCGCCCCCATCTCTGTGCCCACGTGCATGGACGGAGCCCAGCCGGGCCCACGCGTGGTGCCGGCTTCCCCCTGGCCCGGCGAGGCAGTCGACAATGTGGGGCGGCGACCACGGCTGCCGTGGCCATAGGAGTGGATGGTAGCCACGGTGATTCTAGGTGGAGTGGCCTTGGGGGACAGTGGCTGGATCAGTGACGGTTCCACCAGAGACAGGTGCACAGACAGACAGTGGATGGACAGACACACAGAGACAGACTTAGGGTTTAGTGCGGGACGTCAGCTCTCCCAGGTGGGGGCTGGCTAAGCCCGTCTGCAGTTTCTGGGCCGGCGGCCAGGCCCGGCCTAGACAGGCCGGAGCCCCAGGAATGTGATTCTGATGACGGGGGTGGCTGTGGCTGCGAACACGGGTGGCGGCCACGGTGCTGGTGGTGGTAGTGACAGTCACCATGGTTGCAGCCACTGCAAAGGCGGGCACAGTGGCTATGACCATGGTGACAACGGCCGTGACGCAGTGGCGTTGGCAGCCGTGGCCGTGGAGAGCAGCGGAAGGAAGCCAGAGTGCTGACAGCCCTGACGCTGGGGGACCTGGTGGCAGTGGCCACAGGGATGGTGGCCGTGGTGGTGGCCCAGGTGGCAGTGGTTCTGGTGACAAACCGGTGGGGCATGGGATGGCCAGATGCCACACACAGTGGCCAGGACTCGTGGTGGACTGTGGCCATGGTGATGGTGGCTGTGGTGGTGGGCTACAGCCCGGGGGGCGGCGGTGGCCACGAGCGGCCTGGTCCCCTCTCACCCGGGTCTCTGGGAGCAGCAGCAGAGGGCCCGGCGCCCGATGACCGCTACCACGCCATCTACTTCGCCATGCTGCTGGCCGGCGTGGGCTTCCTGCTGCCATACAACAGCTTCATCACCGACGTGGACCACCTGCACCACAAGTTCCCAGGTGGGTCCCCCTGGGCGCCCCGGCCGCACTCGGCCCTCGGAGGCTGCCCGGCCCACTCCGGACGCCCCGCAGGTGGGACCCCGCTCAGGGAGCCTGTTCCCTCCAAGTCTGGGCTCAGCTCCCTGCCCCAAGGACCTCAGGGCAGCCCCTCGCCCTCTCCGGGCCCTCAGGTGAGGAAGCAGTGCCTGGCGGGGCAGGTGCAGGGGGTGGGGGCTCCCCCTGGGCACCTGTTGCTGGCCGCCCCCCACAGGGACCTCCATTGTGTTCGACATGAGCCTCACCTACATCTTGGTGGCGCTGGTGGCCGTGCTGTTAAACAACGTGCTGGTGGAGAGGCTGAGCCTGCACACGAGGATCACCACGGGTACGTGCCCGCGACCCCGCCCCGCACACTGGGATCACTGTGGGCACATCCCCACCCTGGGCTCCCAGCTCTCCCGCGCCTTGCCCGTCCTGCACTCCCCTTGTCTGTAGAATGGGCACCGCCTCCCAGGAACACTGTGGGATTCTGTGTCTGAAAATACGGTCAGGCGTGTGGTGGACGCAGCACCCACTAGCATGTTACCTGCCCCTGGGGAGGTTCTGTGGGCCTCACGTTGTCCAGGGGCCCAAGCCCTTCCCTCCGCCTACTCTGTTGCCCTCCTCCTGCCTCTCTATGTTGATATCCAGCTTCAAGGTTCTGCTCGAACAGCACCTCCTCCAGGAAGCCTTCCAGGCACCCCTCCTAGACCCCTAAGGTGTCCCCTGTTTTCCAAGCATTAAGAGCAACGGCAGAGAGAGGGCACCCCCAAACTGGTGCCAGGAAAGAGGTGGGCAAGTGGGAGCCCCCAGCCCACCACTCGGTGCCCCTCTCTTCTCCCCTGCAATAGGCTACCTCTTGGCCTTGGGCCCCCTCCTCTTCATCAGCATCTGTGACGTGTGGCTGCAGCTCTTCTCGCGAGACCAGGCTTATGCCATCAACCTAGCTGCTGTGGGCACTGTGGCCTTCGGCTGCACAGGTAGGGACGGGGTGGGGGTGGGGGGCTAAACCCCCAGATGTCTGTTGCGCCCATTCCGCCCGGCCCCACTGCAGTGCTGGGGCCTGTTACAGAGGTTCGTCCTCCCTGTCCCCTGCCCCTCTCATGGGAACTACTGACCTGAAGCCCCGCAGCGTACTCGGGTTCATTCTATTAAAAAATAAAAAATGCTGGTAGGGACCAGGAAATCCAGTCTGCCAGCCCTGCTCAGGGCTGAGCTAGGCAGGGACTTGCCTGGCTGCGGACTGCCAGCCAGGGGCGCTCATTTCCCCGTGTCAGTCAGGATGAGAGGTGTCGCGCTGCAGTAAAGAGTGAGCCCAGAAAGCTCAGTGGCTACAAAAAACAAGACTTCTTTCTGGCTCTTGCCCCACACCCAGCATGTGGGTGGGACTCCACGCAGTGTCCCTCCGCAACGCAGGCTGACTGCAGCCCATCCGTGACACGAGGCCTCTCTGGTTGCCACCGTTGGGGGAGAGAGAGACTGGAAGTCCCTGTGGGCTCTGCTCTGCCTCATCCAGAAGTGACATGTGGCATTTCCACTCATGTTTCATTGGGCAGACGAGTCGAGGCACCCAGCTGCCCCAGGGTGGGCATGTGGGAGGCAGGACGCGCCCCATCTGGTGGCCAGTGCTGTCTCCACTGCCCTGTGAGGCGGTTGGACCCCACGCCTCTGCCGCCAGCGGTGGCGTTAACATCCGCTTCCCCGCACCCACACCAGCTGTGTTTTGTTCCGTGCTGACGTGGGGTGTCTCATGGCTGCCCCACTCCCTCTCTCTCTCAAGTGCAGCAATCCAGCTTCTATGGGTACACGGGGATGCTGCCCAAGAGGTACACCCAGGGGGTCATGACCGGAGAGAGTGAGTATCAGCAGGCCTGGGGGGCGGGGTGCCGGGCTGCCTGGGGTTCAGAAGCCCCTTCCTGGGGAATCCGCATGACGTGCCCGGGCTGGGGTGGGTGTGCAGGGGTGAGGGGCCCAGCGGGGTCCCAGGCCCACGCCCCCCTCCCCGCAGGCACGGCCGGCGTCATGGTCTCCCTGAGCCGCATCCTCACCAAGCTGCTGCTGCCGGACGAGCGGGCCAGCACGCTCATCTTCTTCCTGGTTTCCGCCGGCCTCGAGCTGCTCTGCTTCCTGCTGCACCTGCTGGTGCGGCGCAGCCGCTTCGTGCTCCACCACACTGTGCGGCCCCGCGACAGCCGCCCGGGCCACAGGGCTGGGTACCGCGTGCACCACGACGTGGCTGCCGAGGACATCCACTTCGTAAGTCTGCGGATCCCCCCAGCCCCCGCCTGCGTCCCTGCCACGGTGCCCGGAAGGTGCCTGGGGGGTCCCAGGCACAAGCTCTACCCAGTCCCCGCGGAGATCCCGCTGGGTGGTCTCTGGCTCCGCCCCTCGGGCCCCCCCCCCCCCCCCCCCCCCCCCGTGGACCAACGCGCCACATCCCTTAGTAGCACCACACAGCTGTGGCCTGAGCCCCATGGGCAGGCCCTCCAGTGCTGTCCTGGGGCGCTCAGGCGCCCTCTGGTGGCAGTGGGGCTGCATAGTCCCCAGCAGCCCCGGGCGGCAGGGGAGGAGGAGGCCTGTGAGCACTCGAAGGATGAGGCTCAGGAGAGCCCTGAGACCTGGAGAGGGGCAAAGGGTGGCGTGCCAGGAAAGAATGGAGAGCAGGGGCCCCCTCCATGGTCAGGGTGGCCGCCGAGGAGTGGTGTGAGCTGAGCCTGGCCTGTGAGCGGAGTGGAGGCGGGAGCAGCCGCAGGAAGGGCACTGGGAACAGAGGGGAACGCCGTGAGGGCTCAGAGGCTGACAGGAGCTCCGTGTTTGGGCAACAGTGAGAAGCAAGGGCAGGCAGCGGGCCGTGAGGTCCCCCCTCTGAAGCCTGCCCCACTCTGTCCTCCAGGAGGGCCAGGGCCCAGCCCTGGCCAGCAGCGTGTCCCCGAAGGGCAGCCCGGCCCACGAGGTGGTCATCCGAGGTAGGGGAGCCTACATGCGCTTCGACGTGCCTCGGCCGAGAGCGGAGCGGAGCTGGCCGTCCTTCAGAGGTGGGGGCTGGACCCCAAGCCCCCACAGCCCCCGTGGGAGGCGCTCAGGCCGGGGGTGGGGCCGGGTGCTGACCCCTGGCCTGACCCCCGCCCCTCCCGCAGCCCTGCTGCTGCACCGGTACGTGGTGGCCCGCGTCATCTGGGCCGACATGCTGTCCATGGCGGTGACCTACTTCATCACGCTGTGCCTGTTCCCGGGCCTGGAGTCCGAGATCCGGCACTGTGTCCTGGGCGAGTGGCTGCCCATCCTCATCATGGCCGTGTTCAACCTGTCCGACTTCGTGGGCAAGGTGGGCCACCCCCCGGGGAGGGGGCCGAGGTGGGGACGCCATGCAGATGTCCCTGGGGAGGGCAGGCCCTGCACAGAGCGTGCAGGAGGCTCCTGGGCGTGGAGGGTGGAGCCCGGCCGTATGCCGGCCCAGGCCAAGGCCTTGAGCGAGGCCTCGGTGGACCCCAGGCCAGCCCTGGGGTCACCTGAGTCCTGGAGGCCAGTGCAGGCTCCTGTCCCCCTGGGTGATGGGTCTCTGACAGCACCAGGAGTGCCCCAGAGAGGCAGGACCCCCTGAAATGGCTGCTGTGTGCTTCGGGTGGGGGAGGGTCAGGGGTCAAGGCTGGAGGCTCCAAGCTGCGGGTTCTGCAGGCCTGCCTTGGGCCCTGTCTGGATGAATGGGGAATGTGGGGCTCAGAGGGGTGCAGCCATTTGCCTGGGATCACACAGCTGGAAGGTCTGAACCACTTGAGTCCGTGCTTCGTGAGAGAACAAGTGGGTTCCACGCCCAGTCCTGCCGCTTTCCCCTGTTCGGGGGCCTGTCCCTTTGGGCTCGGTAGCCTCCTTTCTCAGACAAGGTCTAGAGCCCCACCCTGCAAGGGTCCTGGAGGACCGAATGTGGACATGGGCCAGGGACTGGTTTGCTGTAACGGGGGTTGGTGGGTTTTCATGGACAAAGCTGGACTGAGCTGGGACTGCCTGGGGACGGGGGTGCGTCTAGGGGCCTCAGTGGACGAAGGGGAGGCGGGGCCCACACGCCTGCTGCCGCCCCGCAGATCCTGGCCGCCCTGCCCATGGACTGGCGGGGCACGCACCTGCTGGCCTGCGCCTGCCTCCGCGTGGTCTTCATCCCCCTCTTCATCCTGTGCGTCTACCCCAGTGGCACGCCCACCCTCCGCCACCCGGCCTGGCCCTGCGTCTTCTCCCTGCTCATGGGCATTAGCAACGGCTACTTCGGCAGCGTGCCCATGATCCTGGCGGCGGGCAAAGTGGGCCCCAGGCAGCGAGAGCTGGCAGGTAACGCCCTGCACTGTGGTAGCCAGGCAGTGTCCCCTGTGCTTCTGGGGCTGACAGCGCAGCAGAGACAGACAGACAAATAACAGAACAACGGGAAACAATGAAGCAGAGAAGTGGGAGGGGTGAGTCGGGTTCATGTTGCCAGTGGAACAACCCGGGGGGGCGCTTCACTGAGGGGATGACTTTCGAGCAGAGACCAGCAGGAAGTGGCGAGGAGGCCGGCCGTGAGACAGGGCAAGGGGACAGCCCGAACAAAGGCCCTGGGGCAGAAGAGCTGTGTGTGCCGGGGGCAGGGGCAGTGAGGGGTGAGAGGGGCTGGGAAGAAGGTGCTGGATCTTGCTTTGAGGCCACAGGGCCAGGGGATGAACCAGGAGATGGGTAAGAAAGAGACTCTCAAGTTTGGGGGCTCAAGGCAGGAAGGTGGCATTGCCATCAGCTGAGAGGGGGCGGGAGCTCCCCTGGGAGGGGGGCCAGAGTCCAGTTCTGGACACGGGAGGTTCCAGAAGCCCACTAGACACCCCACGCCGTCCATGACAAGGAAGCAGGCCAGGCCTGGGCCCCACATGGGGCTGCACTCGCCCAGCCCCACCCCGGGAGCTGGCCCTGGTTGTGCCCCTTCACACTGGAGTGGCCGGGGCTTCCACTCCAGCCCTCTGTCAAGAGGCCGCATGGATTCGGGTTTGTCTGTGTGTGCGCGCAGCTGCTGGGGTCCCGGAAGGCCACAGGCTGCCCTCCGCCCCCACCAGCTCTGGTCTTGTCTGCAGGGAACACCATGACCGTGTCCTACATGACAGGGCTGACGCTGGGCTCCGCCGTGGCCTACTGCACCTACAGCCTCACCCGAGACGGCCACCGAAGCTGCTTCCAGACCACTGCCAGCAACGCCTCCTTCCCCACCGGTCCCTGAGCCTGCTGGCCAGCCCTACCCAGGGAGGGCCACCGAGACCTGCACCAGGGCCCCCAGGCCTGAGGCCGCCTCCCCACCCCAGCCTGCAGTGCCTGCGAGCCCTGGCCACCTCTCAGGCCAATCACGCCACCCTCTCTGGGCCCAGCTGCCCGCACTGCAGCCCCAGGGTTCCGCCAGTTCTCAGAGGCCTCGGCACGTCACCGCCCCCACCCCCGGGGCTCTGCCCAGCACTGTGCTCTGCGTCCCATCTCACGTCTGTTCCTCGTCCTCCATCTGCGTCCAGTGCTCCGTGGGGGCCACTCACAGCCATCCCCACTCAAAAGAGCAGACCACCAGCCAGTGCCCCCTTGGTGACTCCCACTGCCAGGTCAGCATTGAGGGCCCCTTGGCCCCAACCACACCGCCCACAGCCTGTGACTGAGCCCTTCCTCCACTGGGAGCCCTCCTCACAAACAGAAGGGGAGAGGGCTAGCCCCGCTGCTGTCCCCTGGAGGCCCCTCCTCCCCCCGAGCCTTACGCCCTGGTTCTCCCAAACATCGAGTTTGCTGTGGAGGAACCCGAGCCCTGGGTCTGAAGGGTGTCAGACCACAGTCTGTGCTGGCCGGGCACACCAGGACCCGCCCGATGCCGCGGGCCTGAGGGTGTTGACTCCCGAAGCTCCTCCCTGTCTCTGATGCAGGTGGGCAGTTTTGGGGGCTGCAAAGCAGCGCCCCACACCCTGGCTGAGGTCAACTCTTGCCCTAAGCCTTGATCCCCATCCGGCAAAGCGGAAGAGAGAGAAACCTGAGTCCCGGTGTGTCGGGCGGGTGGAGGCCCCAGGTTGGTTCCCCGCCAAGTTAAGGGGACTCGGGGAAGCCCCCCAAAGACAGGCTCTTCCAGGAGGACCTGCCCTTCCACGCCCACGACACAGCTGTGACCATCGCTCCACCCCTCTGTGTCCCATCAGCCACCTGTGTGTCCACTAACTGTACCGCACTGGCCATTAAAAGACGAAGGCAGAGAAACTGCCCCATGGCTGCCTCCGAGTCCTGTCTGTGTGTGAACGCTTGCCCCCACCTTCTTGGCCCCCAAGATCAGGACAGGGGCCCCCGTGGGACAAAGCCCACCACAGAGCTGGGGCTCCGATCTTCCCATCTGGAAAGCGGCCCTGCCAGCCCCCAAACCTGAAGCCCTGTCTAGGGCAGGGGTGTCAAACTCATCTTCACCAGGGGCCACATCAGCCTTGAGGTAGCCTTCAGAGGGCCAAATGTAATTTTAGGATGGTATGTATAACTACTCCTTAACTAGAGTCAAGGAGCTCGGCACTGCCCCCCCCCCCCCCCCCCCCCCGCCTTGTGTTTGCCACCTTTGGTCTAGGGAATAGGCAGGGGTCCCTCCGATACAGGAGGGTCTCTACACAGCTGGCAGGCCCCGGGCAGGCTCCTTGCCCCAGATTTGGGGCAAGGAGTGGAAGCTGGAAGCTTTTGAGCTTTGAAGGCTCTCGGGTCTGGGAGAGCAGCTGCACCCAGTCCGCTTGAAAGAGCAGAAAGAGCTTTCCCCCCTAACCGCCCCTCCCAGGACTTAGAAACAGGGTTCACACCAGGTTCTCTTGCTGAGCTGTGAGATTTCTACAAATTTCACATTGTCCTGTGCCTGTTTTCGCAAGGAGTAACGTTTGTCCACTCTTGGATGTGGGTCCATTGGAGGAAGAATTAGAGAGGGCGGATGGCCGTCCAAGGGCCGCCTATGTTCCAAGCCTGCAGCCCCCGGGACCCGCGCACAGGGAGAGGGGCGGGGAGCGCTTCAGCGGGCAACCATGTGGGAGAAGAGCTGGAGGGGCGACGCTGGCGTGGGCCGCCAGGTGGCGCCAGCGCGCCGCTGCTCTCGCGTTTGCGGGCGTGGGAGGGGCAGCCCTGCGCTGCGTGAGTCAGTGTCAGAAACGAGCCCTTTCCCCGGCCGGACACAGTCTTCATTTAGTTAATGCTACTGATCACCTTGCTGTCCCCTCAATGAGCAGTCGTGAAAGAGCAAAGCCTGCCGCGTCTTCCGTTTTCCGGGCACTGAGCTGGCACCCATGGGGCCAGGCTGGCTCAGGTCCGTTCAGGCTGTCGGCATCGACTGCAGGCGTGGGCACAGCTGGGAGCGCTCAGCTCAAGTTCACGGAGAAGGGTAGTCGGCGCACCAGGCCCGGCGATGAGAACCTCCCGCGCTGATGAATGCCTTCTCTACCTGGGTTGCTTAGAACAGTAGCCACTAGCGACCTCTGGTGGTTCGCCTGTGGAAAACATGGCTGGTGCGACCGAGGCACTTTCCTTTCGTTTAAATTAACCAATTTAAATACCTACCTGCAGCCACTGGCCACTGCCCTGGGCAGCAGCACCCCGCTCCCTTGCCCTGGAACGTCGGCCGCCCTCACCCCATCCTGGCCCAGAGCCACGTCCTAACACCAAGCCCACCCGGCCCCTGAAATAAACCACTCCACACAACCGTATTTTTCCAATTATAGCTTTTTCTTTTCTTTTTTTTCTTTTTATGAAAAAATCACACAGAATTCGCCAACAAAATTCCAAAAGAAACTTAAAAAAAAAAGGAAACCAATAATTCCCCCAAAAAATAACACCGAAGTCTGGCTTTTCCTTCCCTTAAGATTGTCTGGACAAGACCTCCGGTCTCCCTGGAGGCCGCGGGGCTGGTAAGTGCTTTCCTGGGCCAAACCCTCCGTCAGCCTCCGCTCTCCCTAACTCCTCCAACACCTGGGGGCGAGTACAGTACACCTGGGTGGGGTGGGGCGGGGCGTGCTTGGGGCGGGGCCCGTGAAGCTGGGTGCTACACTCACAATCTAACAGGAAATAAAAAATAATATTCTGCACGTCAGAATGTGTTCGCTTTTTTTTATAATTTCATAGCTATTTTTCACAGTTTTAAAAAGTTTATATTTATATATATTTATATATATTTATCTTTATATATATAATTAAAAAGTCGACTCCATTTAAAGGTATATGATACAGGGGAAGTCTCAGCACGAGAAAACTGTACAGGCGAAGAGCTGCCGCCTCCCTCCGGGTGCGGCTGGGACCGGGGGTTTCAGCACCGTTGGGGTTGTCTGTAGTGTCACGAGGGTATGGACCAGGTGGCCTCAGGGTGCGCAGCCCCCCTCCACCTGGCGCCTGGCCGACGCTGCGGGGCTCCCCCTCACCTGGCTCTGTTCCCCAAGTCCAGGCCGTCCTGAGAGGGTGGAGGCTGGGCCCCTGGCAGGTGCCCAGAGGAGGCCTGGCCTGGCCAGTGAGGCTAGTGGGCATCGGGCTGCCCCATCCCACGGGGGAGGCTGAGGGTGGGCTCCATGCCGATGGGAAGCCGAGCACTGGGAGCCTCGGGAGGGTCCACAGGTAGCAGGCACCCCAGAGCGAGCGTGAGTCCGGCTCCTCAGAAACGCTCCATCAGTCTGCGTCGGCTGGGGCGTAGGGGCCCTGTGCGCGGCCTGGGCAAGTGCGTACAAGGTGCTGGAGGCGAGGCCCTGGGGGGCCGGGCAGAGCCATACCCTGATAGCGGAGAGGAGCCCCCAATGGGAGGCACCGCCGAGTCCGGAAACGGGGGCTGGAGACGTGTGCACATGTGCACACACACGTGCGTGCATACAGGCGCACACATGCGCACACTTGCGCACCAGGGCGTCCACACTCGCATGCGCACAGCCCACGCGGTGGCCCTGAGCCGCGCCGGGGGCGGGGCCTGCCGGCCCGCGGCTCAACAGAGCACCGGCACGCCATCAGTGGAGAAGATCATGCCCGTGGTGGGCTCGTAGGTGCCGGCGAGGTAGTACAGGCCCTCGCTGTCCTGGTGCTTCTTGGTCTTGAGCATCTGCTCATACTGCTCCAGGCCCACCACCAGGCACTTGTGCGACACGGTCTGCACGTCGTTCTCGTCCACGTGCGACGACTGGTACAGTGCGCGCTGCGGGCGGATGCACAGCGTCAGGGGCCCCAGGCCCGGGGGGGGGGGGCGGGGCTCGGGGCAGAGACCCAGAGACAGAGGGACACTGGGAGCGACCAAGGGCAGAACTTGGACACCCAGACGCGGAGACAGACGGACAAGACACAGAGACCGAAGGAAACAAAGAGAGGCAGACCCAGAGACAGACCTGAGGAGTAAGAGACCAGGGGCCAGGAGAGGAGCGTCTGGGAGGGCTCCGCCCCCATCACGACTACCCTGCACGTACCTCCATGAAGTCCTTCCTCTGGCTGGAGGCCCGCAGGGCTGCCGGGAGGTTGCGGCCGGACTTCTGGTCCCAGTGCTGCAGGCAGCAGACAAGGGCCGGCGGTGAGCCCAGGCTGGCCCCCCTGCCCCTGCCCCAGGCCCCCAGGGGGCTACAGCCTCCGCCCCCTGCCCCATGCCCACCTGGCCCTCGTGCAGGCGCTTGCCCGGGCTGGTCTCCTCGGGGTGGTAGAACCACTTCACCCGCACCACCATGTTGCTGCCCCACGACTCCCACATGCTCTGGATGCGGCCGATGTAGGGCAGGTTGGGGCGGCCGGCCGAGAGGAATACGGCACAGTCACCAATGCGGATCATCTCCTTGCCGCGCACGATGGCCTTGTAGAAGAGCTTGCGGGCCTTGCCCTTCATGCCGCGGCGCTGTGGAATGGGCAGGCACGGTGGGTCAGGGCACTGCCCCCCACGCTTGGCCCAGCCTGGCAGCCCCTCCTCAACCTTGGGAGTGGGAGGAGACAAAGGGAAGTGCCCCCTCCCTGGCTGGCTCTAATGGGGTCACTTCATCTCCCCAACGACTCCCCATCCCAGAGCAGCGCCAGCAAAGAGGCCTCGAGACCTGCAGACCTCGCACCTGCGGGGGACCCTTCGGGGCCCTGACAGTGGCCTGCACTGACCCCCCCATTCCCAGACAGGGACAGTGGGATGCAGGGAGGAGATGCGAGCAGTGATGCCGAGGGGCTGGTGGCTGACAGAGCCCGTCACTCAGCCCCAGGGCTGCCTTGCAGCTGGGCCCACTGAGAGCACCTGCAGGGGCAAGGTCACAGCGAGGCTGGGCCTCCCAGGGGCCCAAAGCCAAGGATTCTAGTCTAAACCTGAGAAATCTGCGTGATAATTTCCTCCTTTATCCAAGGGAGAAAGGTCTCCCTTCTACCTTTCATTCCCTGGACCCCTGCTGTAGTGGACTTTTTCAATGTCCGTGCCCCAAAGTGTCATAATTTGTGTCCTACAAATGACTCAGATTCTTTTCTGTTCTGGGCACAGGGTGAGTCAGCTCAGGGTGACAGGGACAGCCATGGCTGCTACACTGGCTCATCTTCAACACCGGTTGGGATTCTTTGGCACCAAGAGCCCACCTTCCCACAACCCCATCCTCCAGGTCCATGGGGCTCCCCAGTGGGACTGACCCCACCCCTGTGGGCCTTGGTCTGGCCAGTCCAGCATTGCATCCCGCTGCTGCCCCCTGCTGGAGAAAGCAACCAGGACCAAGGAAGCCAGGGCCTCACCCCAAGAGGCCAAAGGGCTCACCCAGCCCATGCTCTGCAGTGGCAAGAGTGACTGCGGAGCCCCTGAGTGGCAGAGGCAGACGTGAGGAATGGGCCAGTCATAGTGGGGACCTGCCCTTCCATGGCTCCGGGGCTGAGGGCACCTGCCTTGCAGGTCTGCCTTCGGCCCAGATTTCCACGCTCATGCTGGCTGTCTCTGGAGGCAGGGGCGGGTCGCTATGCCAACAGAGGCCCTGCCCCATTCAGGTTTAGTGCCACGAAGGCCAATGGTGGAGGGTCCCTGACTTCATGCTCTGCACCCACCCTTTGCCCCCTTCTAACGGGCCCTGTAGGGGTGCAGCCTGGGGCAGGTGCAGCTGCCCTCTCTCTACTGCAGGGGTCCTAGCCACTCCTAGGTGGTGGGGATGGGGGCCCTAAAGGTTGCTGCTAAGACAGAAGCTCCCCCTGCTGGAGTTTTGACTCAGAAGACCCCACGGCTCCTTCAGCCTGGTGGACCCACCCAGGGAGGTGACAATGCAAAAATGCCAGAACTTTCCTATTATGAA